TCAAAATTCAGATTAGGCTAGTTTAAAAGTTTTTGAGGAGCCACAATAGAACAATAAGAAAAAAATTTTTAAGAAACTGAAAACTTGAGATACAGAGGAATAAAATTAACGGAAGATGAGCAAGACCTCTACATGAAAATGACAAAAGATAAAAGAGAAGTCATAAAGAAGTTCCAAAGCAATGGAGCGAAATACCCTGTTCTTGGATTGGAAGACTGGATATTGTGAAGAAGTCGTTTTTCAAAACCAGATTGGTCTGTATTTAGTGGTAATCTCCATTTAAATCCTAGCAGGTTTTTTTTTTTCCACAAGCTTACCCTAAATTTTATATGGAGGTGCAGAGAGCTAAAGATAGCTGTGGCAGTCTTGAAAAAGACCTAGATCACAGACATCAGGACACTTATCAAGTGATAGTAATTAAAACCTGTAGGTTGGTGTAAAGAGACCAGTGGGACAGAAGAGAGGATCTGAAGACACGTATTTATGTTAAAGCTGGCACTGTGGTACAGTGGGAACAGGGTGGTCTTTTCAATAAAATCATGTTTGGGCAATTAGAAATCCATGTGGAAAAATACATTAGGAATGCCAATCCTTATCTCATACCATGCCAAGATAAATTTCAGGTGGATTGAAATTTCAAGTGAAAGGTAAAACATAAAGTACTTAGGGAAAAACAGAGGAGACTAACTTTAGGACCTTGAGGTAAGCAAAGATTTCTTCAGTAGACCTACAAAAAGCACTAACCATAAAAGAAAAAAAGTAAGTTAAACTTCACTTACACCTAATTTCCAACAAAGGATTGTCGTAATACCTATTTCCAACAAAGGATTCCTATCCAGAGTGTGTGTGTGTGTGTGTGTGTGTGTGTGTATCTTCTACAAATCAGTAAGAAATAAGGCAAGATGGCCCAATGGAAAAAACAGGCATAAAACATAAATAATTCACAAAGGAGGTTCTCCATATGGCCAATAAGCATAGGAAAAGATTGTCAACTTCATTAGTTATCAGGCAACTGCAATTATAACCACATGTGATACCACAACAAATTCACCAAAATGGTTAAAGTGTAAAAAGATAGACAGTACCACATGTTATTGAAGATGGAAAGCATTTGTAACCCCCTTACACTGTTAGTGGATACATATTGCATAACTGTTTTTGGAAAACTGGCAGAATTTGTATATATATATTACACACACACACGCACGCACTACATACACATATACACATACACATACACAACAAAAATCATACATGTGTCCAAGAAAAGACTGGTACAGGTAATGTTCAAAGCAACACTGTTGGTAATAGCCAAAAATTAAAAACAACTAAAATGTCCATTAACTCCCAGTTACTTGTGGAATGTTCATAACTATTGAAAAACCATGCAGCAAAGAGCACATTCAACGAGCAATATGGAAGAATCTCATAATCAATGCTGTTGAGAGAAAGAAGCCAGAAACGCCAAGATTTTCGTCTGAGTGTAATTCAGAAGTAGGGTAAAGAACCTGTGGTGTTAGAAGTCAGGAAGGTGGTTGTCGCCCTTGCTGGCCGGGGTGTAATTAGAAGGGGACACAGGAGGCTCTGGGTGTGCCGCCATGTTGTTTCTTGATCCTGGTGTTAGGTACATTGGTGTGTTCACTTTGTGAAAATTCTTTGAGCTGTACACTTAACGATTTGTCTACTTTTCTGTAAAGCTTACTCTTCAAAAAAAAAAAAAAAAAACCTTAAAATAATCTTAGAGATACAAGCCAGTTTGAAATAGTCTCAGTGACACAAAAGCCTAAACTGGGTAACCATTTGGCAAAAACTTGTGGTGGAATTGAAGTTGCATTGTTTTTGTTTTTTTCATTGTTTTTAATGTTTATTTATTTTTGAGAGAAAGAGAGAGACAGAGTGTGAGAGGGGAAGGGGCAGAGAGAGAGAGGGAGACACAGAATCCAAAGCAGGCTCCAGGCTCTGAGCTGTCAGCACAGAGCCTGATGTGGGGCTCAAACTCGTGAACTGCAAGATCATGACCTGAGCCAAAGTCAGATGCTTAACTGACTGAGCCACGCAGGTGCCCCGAAATTGAAGTAGCATTGTAACTGAGATGGTGTAGAGGTGGAGGAGAGTAAATGTAGAGGAGGAGCCTTTCTTCTGATGGGCTTTGAGTAAGTAGTTTTCAGAAGTTTTCTTTTCTAAAGGATCTTGAGAGAATTACTGACAAACTTTAGAAGTCCCAGTGACATAAAATCATTTGCTAAGAAATGGCTGTTTTAGGAGAGCAGCAGTAAATATGTTTGGATTCAGAAGATCTGGCAGATGAATGGAATATTCTGTAGCTTTAATTTTGATCTTCACAAATACAAGAATGACAAAAGCATTTGCCTTTCTGTTTTATTTTTATTGCAATAATTTCATATCCCTTTAAAAAAATTAAGTAGGCTATTTAAAAAGCCAATGGGATTGGTAAACAGAAATTGAAAGATGAAACCAGGGCTGAGCTAAAAGGAAAGAACAGGTCTAGTAACACAGGGTAACCACAGTGGCTGGACTCGAGCATGTACAATTTGGTGGTTACTTTTAGGACATCCACAACTGAAAGGGACACAAAACCATTTCCTGAGGCTTGGATAGTCCTTTTCCTTGCCACTAAAGCTGGGAGGCAAGTATCTTTCATGAGACATTAAAGAGGCAACATTGTTAACGTGACACATCTTCCATAAAGGGTAATGTGGCAAACGTGTAAGTTGAATTTACAGGTTGTTTCTTACCGTGACCTAACCTTCTGTAAGGACAAAGGAGAGTGTAATTGTTCACTGGCAATAATGTTGAAAGGAAGCATGCTTTAAGTAGGTGCCGCCCACCAACTCATTATTTGGGGGAGACACCTGGCACTTGGGGCTGTCTTTGCGCCTTTTCAGAGCGTGAGTTCCGGTTTGTTTCAATCCAGCAGGTGCCCGGGAAGAACCTAGCCTACAACAAGCACAGCGCCGGTCAGCTGTCTTTCTGTCCTTTAAATCACCAATTCCATGTCTGCCCTTGCGCTGGGAGCAGCAGAGCAAACTTCTCCCCACCGTAGCTGGAATTCCTGCCAGTAAAGTTTCCAAATGGAGCACAGATGAGGTATATTTCATTTTCTTTGTCTGCCAGGAACTGGATATAGCAATTCTGGCTTCAGGAGCAGATACAGTGAATGTGTGTGGGGCTTAGTCTCTCTTCCTGAAAGGGAAGAAATTGTTCTGAGAGAAACAACTAACGCATGCAGGTTAAACATTTTGAACCTGTAGCACTTAGATTCGGGCTTCTGTTTTCAACTGGAATTGTTACCTTATTTTTGACAGGTGTCAGAATTCATACAAAGCTTACCTGGCTGTGAAGAACACGGAAAGGTATTTAAAGATGAAGTAAGTGTCCCACTGAAATGCAGTGAACGGTTAGATGTTTTGAATTGGGAGAGGAGGGAAGAGAGCGCTGGTGTTGAAATTGACAGATTGGCATGGCGTTGTCTAACAAGCAGCATTCGTCATTTGTACACAGATGTCTTTCTATGAGATCGGATGTAACAGAAGTGTTTGTACCATTTTATGATGCTCCACAGCAATAGCACCAGACCCGTTCCTAAAAAACAAACCACACACAAAAACCTTAATAGCATGCATTTTCTTATAGCACAGAAAGAAACCAAAGAGAGAGATAAGCAACATTTTGTTTTTAATACAGTGAAATTAGTTCCCATTATTTTATTTTCAAACATCACTTTAACAACACCATGATTAAATTCATTTAATGTTATACTAAATATTACTGTTACTGCTAAAACAACCCCTTAGATCTTATACCTATCTCAGTAATGTTTATAATAACTGATAGTCATTACCGTCTGCATTTGGGAGATTAGTTTATCCTCTGCCTGCCCAAAACATCAAGATAAGAGATGCTTAATAATGTTATGACCTATATTGAACATTAAAACAAAAAAGAAATTGGCTTTAACTACCGTGCATGTAATGCTATTTGAGTATAGCAGACTCTGTTCTCACTAGAGCCCTTTAAAAATAAGCCCCTAGCCTGTCAGCGCCTCCAAGCAGAGCAGTCTGTTTTCACTCTCATCTTGGCTACCAGAAGGTCGAAAGAAGACCGAAGTAATCTCAGAAGGTTTTTCTATAGTTATAGGTATATATGCCTTCTTTGCCTCTGTGTAGCCTCAGCTGCTAAGAATAGCATACTTTCAATTAAGAGCCTTGCAAGATGAGCCTGGGTGGCTCAGCCGGTTAAGCGTCCGACTTTGGCTCAGGTCATGATCTCGTGGTTCGTGAGTTCGAGCCCCGTGTCGGGCTGTGTGCTGACAGCTCGGAACCTGGAGCCTGCTTCAGATTCTGTGCCTCCCTCTCTCTCTGCCCCTCCCCTGCTCATGCTCTGTCTCTGTCTCAAAAGTAAATAAACATTAAAAATTAAAAAAAAAAAAAAGAGCCTGGCAAGAGTATCAAGACAGCTAAGGATCCAGGCATCGTCAGCATCATTATACTATTAGTATTATTTTGTTTTAGACGGAAGCCTGCTAAAGTATACAAGGATCTGATTTTCAGCATCCTTTTTTTCTGATTTATGTTCTTGTTTCAGGAATGTTTCATCTTCTTTCTAGTTGGTCTTTAATTGATAGTTGTTCAGATTTTGAGTTTCTTTCCTTCACTCCTAAATTCTAAGTTCTTCGTGGATCACACTCAGTTAATTTTCAGTCCCTGAACAGATTTAGACATCTGCAGGGAGCTGTTGTTCTTTCTGTGGAAAAAAAAAAAAAAAGTCATGTAGTTGTTACCTGAGATAATAAAACATTTTTTAAAATAAGTTTATAGTACATCTATATTAGAACTGTTTTTTGTTCTGTTGATATCTAGACAATCCATATGGATTTGCTCTGTTATTTAGTTTCAGTAAGATTCAAGTTCAGATATGTTCTTTCTTTGAATATGCTTTCATGGCGTAGAAAAATGTATTCAAAGAAAGAACATATTTGAACCTGAACTTGAATCTTACTGAAACTAAATAACAGAGCAACAGTGTTCTCAAAGCCAGATCCTCTTTGTGAGGAGCGAGACAGTGATTGTTTGCATAGTCCTTCATTCCTTTATTTATTCATCCTATAAATTCCTGTGAAATTCATGTCTCACAAGGTCAGCAGGTGTTGGTTTTAAGGCCTAGAAGTAAACCATAAAAGAAATCTAACTAAACCCTGGTAAGTCATCTCTAAGAGGCAAAGTACAGGTGTTAGGACGGGCTATGATTTGAACCATGCTTGATGTCACTTTCTCTTACACATTCTGCATCTAATCTGTTGAAAATCCTATTGGGCGTATTTTGGAAACATACAGGGATTCTGGCTGTGTCTCTGCCTTCATCACTGCCACTATGCTCTGAGCCCCTATCCTCACTCACCTGGATCAACACTGTAACGTCCTAACCAGTCTCCCTGCTTCTAATTTTGCTCTTCTACAGTCTGTTCCCAGCCTACCCAGAATGATCCTGCTCAAAATAAGTCAAATCATGTCACTCTTCCATTCGTAGCCTTCCAGTAAATAAAGCAGAATAAAAGCAAAAATCCTCACAAGGGCCTGCCGTGACCTCTAGAGAGGCGAGAACCTCCTGACCTCGGCTTGCTCCATCCTTGGCTTACCCTGTTTGTTGCACACACTGACCTCCTTGCCATTCTTCGTATTGTCCAGGCGCCTTCTGTGTCTGCCCTGCCTGGGATGCTGTTCCCCCAGACGTTCACATGCCGTGCTCCCTCTGCTCAGATGCCACCTTCTCAGTCATCCATCCTTGCCCCTGCTGTGCAGCCACCTCCCCACCCAGAGGTTTTCTTCATAGCACTGATCACCTTTTAGAATTTATTACTGTCAGTTCGTTACTAATTAATTTGCTTACCTATCATACTTTTTGATTACAGTCTCTCTTCCACTACTAGACCATAAACTTCACAGGGAGTTTTGGTTTACTCATTTGCTTGGTTTTGCTTATATATCTCTTTTATTCTTTGCTGTATGCACAGGCCCAAGAAGAGTGTCTGGAATGTGATAGGTGTTTAATAAGTGTGTTGAGTGAGCACGTTCATACCTTTACCCTCTGAGAAAGACACGCAAACAGCATGTCACTGTGATTCGCAGAGTTAAAACATGGGGAGCAGAACCAGGAGTGCTGGAAAGAATAATGAAATGGAAGGCCAGAATCCTGCCTGAGTTCCAAACCCTCCTTCAGAGTTTTGGGCCATTAGCGAGATACTTAATCTCTAATCTCTGGAGTTAGAGCAGTTTATATACATCACAAAGGCAAACAGAAGCAAACCCAGTATTACACTGCGGTGATCACTGTGCTTAGAAAGTGCTTTCTCAAATTTAGTTTACTTCCTTCCAAATGAGGCTTGTCCATATGGTCACACGTTGGAGCAGCCTGTGTGAAATATACTGGCTGGCACCCGCCTCAAGCTGACTTTTTCTTTCCAGTGTAACCTTAAAAATAATCTACCAAAACTTCACCTTCTCACCCCACTCCTAGCTTTCAGGTTCCAGCCTTGCCATTCTCTAAATGTTTCTTTTCATCAGTCATCTGTCATGTTAAACTCTTATATAATCTCAAGAGACTCAGTAGGGCCCGAGGTTGTAATAAACAATTCCGTCTTTGCAATGAGCTCCTTGGGAACCGGTGTGTTAGTTGACCTTTTCATTAATGACTTAGAAGACTTCGATCAGACCGTTTATGCTACTAAGGTCTGCCTTGGTTGAGTGAAGTGTTAATAGATCTGCCTCTCTGCTTGGCCTCGTTTGACCCGAGGACTGTCAGAGCACAAGCAAATGAGACCAGAGCAAATGCTCCCCAAGAAGCAACAGAACATTTCTCTTATCTGCCACTGAACTTGTCTTCATTCGGAAATTTACGTGGGAGTGCCTTTCCTTCTAGGGTATGACAGACACTAAGATGCTTCCTTGCTGAAAATTGGGAAACTTCTTCCAAACAATCACTGCTTGAAGTTGCATAAGATGACCCTGGTACTGGTTAAAAGGATTTACAGGTTTGCTTTGTTATTGGAGGAAAGAGGAAAATCTTAAACAGCGGCTTAATTGTTTCAGCCTTTATTTAGTAAACTGTCTACAGAATTTAGAGTGATATGAGTTTGCTGAGGCTGCCATAACAAAGAACCACAAACCAGCAGTTTAGACAAGAGAAATGTATTGTCTCCCAGTTCTGGAGGCTGGAGGTCTGAAGAAGGCAAGAAGGCAAGGTTGTCATCAGGATAGCTTCCTTCTGAGGTCGGAGGAAAACCTCTGTTCCAGGCCGCCCTCCTTGACTTGGAGATGCTGTTAAACCTTTTCCTCACAGTGTCTTCCCTCTATACGTGTCTGCCTCTGGCTCCAGATGTCCTCTTTTTTTTACGGACTTCCATCATCTTGGATCACCCTACTCCAGCATGATCTCATCTTAACCGATTGCACCTGCAGTGACCCTGTTTCCAAATAAGGTCACGTTCTGAGCTTCTTAGGGCCCTGTTAGGACTTCAGCAGGTGAATTTGGGACAGACACCATCAACCCAAAACAGTACATTGCTGTCAAGGTTTGTGATGTACTCTGAGGCAGAGAGCAAAAGTGTGTTTTACTTTTCTTTCACTTGTGGTGTAAAACGGAAAAACCGAAAGAGAAATGAATGATTGTTTTTGAAGGTGGTAGAATGTCCCCAAACCTGAAAATTTTTACAAAAAAGACTATTCTTTTGTTCTGCCCACTAAACCAGAAGTTTAGTTCTGGTAGAAGCACAGAAGTTTAGTCTTGGAAGAGACCCAGGGGGAGGAAGGATGTTTCTTGTGGTCACCCAGTCTACAGCTCTCCACACCACGTTCATCACCTTCATTTCCTCTGTCTCCATCTACACTGTTGATTGCCCTTGTTAGTAACTCCTTTTTTTTCTGCATACAAAGAATGGTTGTAGCCACTCTAAAAATGAATGTTATCACTGTTTTTTTTTTTTTCCTTCACTGGGGAAAGCTAATAAAAAAAAAATGTTAGCACACAGCTGACATGTTTGCCTGAATTCCTTTGTTTATATCCACAAACATTTGTGTGCTTAACTCGCATTTAAAATCTACCATAATGGGAACTGGATCTGAGTCACCCCAGATTTATCCAAATTCCTGTGGACTCATTGCCTAAGTCAGAGCAATCCCAGGAAAATACGGGCACCTTCCATTTTCCTGTGGGCTGATTTTTCAGAGGACCGAGTTTTATGTTTGCTTCCAGTCCACATTGCTTCCAGTTTGGTTATTGTAGATAAGAAAGGTTCATCAACCAGGAAATGTTTGCACACATGAACTCTCGTCTGCTCCGCAGAGGACAGCTGGTAACTTAACTTTGGATATTTGCCCAACACTACATCTGATCGATTCATAATCTTTTTGTCTGTTCCTCCCCTTTTAGCAAATTGATGGAGAAGCCTTTCTGCTCATGACCCAAACAGACATTGTTAAAATTATGAGCATTAAGTTGGGACCTGCTCTCAAAATTTTCAATTCTATCCTGATGTTCAAAGCTGCAGAGAAGAACTCTCACAATGAACTTTGAAGATGGTGAATTTTGAATACCATCAGCTTTCTGCTTTAAAGCTCATGTTTTATTCAAAGCACAAGGACAGTTCTAACTCCTAAGCGAGAAGTCTCCCAAACTCAAAAGAGCAACGCTATCAGATTATTTATATTCCTCAAGAGACAATATATATGAATCCTTATGAAAGTGCTTCAGCTTTTAACCAGGTACTGTCTAAGAGCACTCATCCTTTGGTTCTGTTCACTGAGCTAAATTTATCTTTGTAAATCTTTTTGAGGCTGGGGGAGGGGTGGGAGGGAAAGGGAACTTCATTAATTATTTATGGTAAAGGGGGGGTCAGGATAAGAACTTTTGGCATTTTGTAAACATTGTTGAGTCCTCTTTCATGTACACGGTTTCTTTTTCAGTACTTTCAGAAACCTTTTTATATAATCCAACTTCAACTTAAACCAAATTAGTCAAGACCTGGCCAAGTTTAGCCAGTGGGACTGTTACCTGTATTGTTAATTCTGTGCCATATTTTGAACTGCAACATTATGCTAAGTATAACTTTGCAAGTCATGATATTGCCTAACTGCTTGTCATAATCTGTTGGGGCTGAATAGATGTAAAAAATTACTTTTCTCTAAATCAGTGTTTTTACTTTTGCACGCATTATGAAATGTTAAATTACTTTCACCAGCATCATTACTATAATTACCAAAAACGTGTATATAAATAATGGAATTGAAAAATAAAATATATAAATAAATTAGGTGATGTATTTGAATGGCATCCAGGCTTCTACATTGTGGTGCCCTGTGTATCTACAAGAGTCCAGTGGTATCCAAGGAATATGCAATTATATTGGGGGCGGGGTGGGGGAGGGCTTGTTTGTAAGGATCTTGAACTATTTATGAGATGATCTTAAGCTTCTCTCCGATTGTCCATGACGTAACTGTAGTGCTTTTCAGGGGCCGAAGGGCTCATCTGTTGATGGAAACACTAATCCATAAAGAGCTCTGTCCCAGATCTTCTTCCTCCAGACCCAAAGGTTTTCTTAGAGTTGGCCGAAGAGAGAGTATGTGGATTTTAGTGAAAGGGCGGAGTGTGAGAGAGCAACACCAGTCAGCACAAAGATTGTAAATGCTCACAGATCCAGGAGGGGGTTTCCCAAAGCAGTTATTCAAGAACCTCCGTTTTGGAAAGATTCTCTGTAGAACAGTTCCCCTAAGTTCTGTAAATGTACAGATGCACTTTAAATGAAAGCCCTGGATTATCCATAAACTGCTAGCTGTAGTGTTTCTTTCGTGACACTGCCTTTCCAACACAAAAGGTAAATTATTAGCCTTTGGAGACAATGTCTACTTCTAGGATTGGCCATTTATTCAAGGGCCAAGATAAAAGTCAGTAGTCAGTTCATAGCATGCTGTCTGAATTCTGGGGCAAGTTCCACCTCTCTCCTTCCTTGCTCTCATTTTTTCTGATGTGGGACTTCCTGGGACGTCCCCCGCTGGTCCTTTGCATTTGTCAGCATTCAAAAGGCCATGGTATCTGCAGCCTCCCTTTTATTTCTTTGCATGAATTTGCTACAATAAGTTTTTCGTTGTTGGTTTTTTTGTTTTGTTTTGTTCAGAATTTGTACATTCAAGTTGCACTTGTTATATCTGACACGAATGAAATAAAATCTTAATTGCAGATACTTTTTTTACACATGTATGATTTTTTTTTTTTTTTTTTTTTTTTATTTTTTTTTTTAGAAAGCTTGTCTGACACATGAGAGCAGGAACAGTGTCAAAGATTTGGGCATTACAAAGCTATGGGGGATGTATTTGCAGGATTCAAAGTTGTCAAGTTATGTCCCAGATGATGCAAAGAATGACAATAAATAAGTACCTAAGTAAATAAGTTGTTTGGTTAAGTAGGTTTCACACCTATTGGGGATTTTTTTCTTTCTCATTTAAAGCATGTTTTAACAAAGAGAATTTTAAGTGTTATTTAAAATATTCATTCTAAGCAGCAGGTTTTATATGTTAGAGGCAAGGCTTCTAAGCATCCTTAGGTGGAACAGTGTACCTCAAGTAGGGGAAACCTTTTCACCATTCCTTCCCTGGGATGTAGTCTAAGGTTTCACACAGGAAATAGGACCATGATGACAGGGAGGTCCCTGAAGTGAGAGACACAGGCTTGGGCTAAAGCAAACAAAGGGATAGGGAATGTAGAAATTGATAGGGCCTTCCCATCTAAGGACATTAAAAAATTTCACTGTGTAAACCAAATGAGACCCGTCTGCAGGTTGAAATATGACCACGGGCTGCCATTTTGCAACTTCTAGATTCAGTAGACCCAGGCTCCAAAGAAAATAGGGTTGTGTTAGTGAAGCAATATGAAAATTTACCAAGTGGCAAGGTCATGCTGGGCACTGGGGATCGATGTACCAATGAAACAGACAATAAAGCTTAATGTGGATTTGCCCTCATGGTCAGCTCATGTCTGTCAGACCTCACTGCAGTGTTCCTGTGGCTCCACCCCCTACCTGTCTTCCCCAGCCTGTGGAGACAAAGAGAAGTTTTCATTGACCTTTAGCCACAGACACTGTGTGCTCCTAAGGAAAGGAATCTTTAAGAATTTGGTAAATTCATTTGGGAGAGGAAGAATAAGACAGCTTGTGAAACTAAAAAAGGTGGGGGGGGGAGGTTTAGGGAAATAAAGTTCGTAAGGAACTAAAGGCACATTCCAGTGAAATGGAATAAGTGGAAACCATGGAATAGGGATTAGTTTATGTGAAAATGACATCTATCAAATTGGTCCTCTGCCTGTCCAGTCTCATGGAAGCAGTTAGTCAACAGTCATCGTAAAGGGGAGCAGCTGATTGAAATTTCATCTTCTGTCTCACTGACTTAAGCATTGTAATAAATAGAACTTATACAGAAAAAGATATTAGAATAAATATTTGCAGAATAAATGTATTTCCAGAGATGTAGGTCATAAAAATATTTTTTGAGTAATTCATACAAACCCCTTCTTAAGCTTTAAAAAAAATAATTTGATGAAGTAACCCCAGAAATGCTCATCACATTGCCAAGTATTAGCACACTTAGATCTCTTCAGTCTCTGAATCAATCTGTTCTGTCAAAACTGATAGGTTATGATGATACTGTGGTAATGATAGTCAAGGGGCAGGCACCTTGAAACAGTAGTGTTATCATTTTTCCTTATAAAGTACTTGAAAAGAGTACAGCAAGTCTTGCCAGACCTAAGAAGTACTTACTTATGCACCATCTTTAGGAACAGAACAAATGGAATTATAACATGGGACTCTGGGCTGGATGGATGAGGAACCAGGACCTGGACTTCTGAGACGGGCAGGAGAGCGAGTCCAGAAACTGGTGCCCAAGAGGTCCTGGCGGAGAAAGGCCAGGTCCATATTATAGACCCAGACAAACCTGAGCGGCAGCCAGGACAGACACCAACACCAGAGGTCAAAGCCAGAGAAAAGGAGAAACTTTGAGGAGACCAGAACAGGGCCATCACTACATGTCAAGAGAGGGGAGCAGTGGAAGGCTACACAGGTCACAGGTGATCAGGACCCGTGCCAGTGAGCTCAGCAAGCAGTAAGAAGAGCCTTGGTTCTCAACACACGTGGTCGAAGGAAACCAAAATGCCTGGAGCCAGGCAGGTCAGCAGGGGGAAAGAAGTGGGGAGTATGCGCCCACGGGCCACAAATGTACAGCTCCTGAGCATTAAGTCTTCCAAAGTTGGGCACACTGAGCGAAGGGTAAGATGTCATACCCTAATCTGAAGGACTTGAGTGTATCTGAAACGTAGGGCCTTTCAAAAACTAATGCCCCCTTGAAAGTGTGGCCGAGCCTTGATAACTCAGTAGTTGAGCGTCCGACTTCAACGTTTTATTTATTTTTGGGACAGAGAGAGACAGAGCATGAACGGGGGAGGGGCAGAGAGAGAGGGAGACACAGAGGCCGGAAAAGTGACTCCAGGCTCTGAGCCATCAGCCCAGAGGAAGCCTGGAGGCTCATGTCGACTTCCACGGACGCACGTAGATGTGACCTGGCTGAGTCGGACGCTCTAACCGACTTGCTGCGCCACCCAGGCCCAGGCGTCGGAAAGCTTCTAGCTAGGACATGATCTCTCGTCTGTGATTGGCGAGCCCGCTCAGAGCTCTAGTGCTGTAAGCTCGGAAACCTGGGGCCTTGTTCAGGCTAAGTCTCCTCTCTCGATTCCCTCCCATTCACTCTCCTGACTCTATTCTCTCAAATAAACGTTAAAAAAAAATTAAAAAAAAAAAAGTGTAGCTTGGGCTATGGAATTTCTTAGAACTCGAATCAAAAGAAACCGCTCTTAAATAGTATTTTATTACAGAATTTCACAAAGAATTTCAAGTGTCTAACTATATAGAAAGAAGGTACTGAAATTCATTTGCATCCTTTGACACAAGATAATACCTACCTCTACCATAACCCTCAGTCAAAACAATTTTTTGCAAAGTTTTAGGTTTCCCTAGAAATCAATTCTGATGCAATATTTGGCCTCACATTAGGTAAGTGGGTGTCGAAACGCTATTTCCTTTTCCTTTTCTTTCATAGAAGGAAAATGGGGACTGTGCATGTCAAAAATCAACGTCTCTAGGAAGTTGAGGGTTTGGGACAGTCCTCTTGGACACTCAACTCCAAATACGTGGAAGGCAGCTATGAGAGCAGCCAAGGCCGTAACACAGTCATCCACCTTCGTGAGCTTCTCTTTTTCTAAATACAAAGAAAATTCACAGACATCAGTGTTGAAAGGGTTCTTGACTTCTAACACGGGTGTGGACACTTGCACCTGAAAAAAAATAGATAATGGAGTCACCACTCTGTGATATGGAAAATCGCTAAGTCATAAAGGTGCCTCAATTTAACCGTGGTGTTACAATAAATGAGCTTGTTGCTGTGCAGCGTTTGGTAAATATGACAAAACCATACTTCAAAAGGGGCCACCACCCTGCGTTCGAATAAATGATCACATGAAGACATGAACTGTCAAGCCCAATCATTGACATACTACATACCTTCTCATTCACGATGACAAAAAGACTGGGATCGTCCCCAAAAACATCTGGTAGGAGCAAACATGTGGCTGTCATCTTCATATCTGCCAAAGTAAACATGCTTAAAGTCCGAGTAAAAATAAGCTTTTGCCAATTATAAGCAAAGCCAGTCTTAAAATGTGGATTTTTTTTTTAATCATTTGCTTCTACAGAGAACAAACCAGTCTTCTTGAACCAGTGTTTCACAAGCATTTAACCAACATCCTTTTCGAATAAACATCTACGTCTCATGTCCCGCTCTCCAGATCATGGCCAGGAGAAGATCAGAGTCCTGTACTCTCTGTCCATCACCCAGGAAGATTTTAGCATGCTTTACCTTGTGATTGTATTATGAAATTAACAGGTTACTGGTTCCCTAAATAGGATTTTACCAAATCAAGTGTACTTTTTTTAAAAAATATTTTTTAATGTTTATTCATTTTTGAGAGAGAAAGAGACAGAGCATGAGTGGGGGAGGGGCAGAGAGAGAGGGAGACCTAGAATCCAAAGCAGCCTCCAGGCTCTGAGCTGTCAGCACAGAGTCCGATGCAGGGCTCAAACCCATGGACCGCGAGATCATGACCTGAACTAAAGTCAGATGCTTAACCGACTGAGCTACCCAGGCGCCCCTCAAGTGTACTTTTAATTCTGTACCTAGGCTCCTCCTATTTGAGAAGTTCTTTTTTCTATCCTGTGTGTTGTTTCACTGAATTACTTATTTCCAAAACAGAGCTTCTCTATCCTGAATTAAACAGGTAACTGACTAGATTGCCCCACCCCCAGGTTTACTAACGTTTCAACATGTCTTCATCTGTGTGCTGTTTCAGTTTTTCTTGCAATGCAATATTGATTGGATTGTGCACCACTGAAAAAGAAGTCAGTATATTTTCCGAATAGGATTCCAAAATGTGCCTTGTTTTCTTATAAATATCTGTTCTTGTAAGAAGCTGGAATTCTCTGAACATCTAGAAAAAAGAAGAAGAAGACCACAAGAAAAGCTAATGTACTGACTGTAAGGAAGTAAATAACTCGTTAGGATTTTATTGAACTTTGAGTGCTAGTTTAAAATCTATACAAGATATATGAGTAGCTTTAGTGGAGAAATAAAGACGTAATGACAGGAGGAAAAAAGAAAGCAAGGCTGAAGTAAATAGGAAAAGATAAATAATGGATATGGCAAATTTCTATGCCCATAGAATTAAAACTTTGCATGCAGGCTCAACTAAATGAGGGCTCCAACTTCTGTATGCATATTTTGGCTATTTGATCAGCTAAGATTCTAGGGTCTTTCTTTAGGCAGTACCCAACAAGAGGCAAAATAAGAAAATTGTTAGATTTTAGGAAGCAAACCTTCAAAAAATACCTAACCATAGCATTCTAAAGGGAAAGGGAAGAGCTTTAGAAACAAGAGTAAGTGGTGAATAGTAAGTGTAGGAGATCTGACTACAAAGTGACAGCAAAACCAGTTTACCTATATGGAAACCCCTTTACTCAACATCACCTTTTCCTGCCACTGCCTAAGTACTCTCCCTCTGAGAATTCCACCACCGCTGCCACCTCCCCGCTTTTTTTTTTTTTTTTGACAGAGTGGCATTATAAGACCATTTATCATCATTCACACTAGTAGGAATTAATGTAATCATCACTCTCCCTAAAACTCTGTAAAGAATAGTTACATACTACCCACAAATGTTCATTTCTTGAACATTTTGGTAGATCATCAGTTGCCCAAAAATTTGGCCCAGAAGTAGTTATCAGAAAACTGGAATGCCCATTAGGGTCTGTTACCAGCCAGCCCTCGGTGGAGCACTAAGCTAGGATGGTGGGGAACATGGTAAGACCAGCGAATTTCATATCATGGCGTGGAGCATCTCAGCAGAGAAATGGGATATAAATCAAAAAAGAACCAAATTGAAATTCAGAACTGAAAATAACATTTACTGAAATGGAAACATCACTGGTTAAGGAAATGCATACTGGAAAATGCAAAGAAAAGGTTCATGAACTTGAAGACTGATCAATAGAAATAAGTAAATACATTGAGGGTAATAGGTGTCAGGTTTCTCACTGTGGAAGAGAGTTAGAATGTATGGAAAGAGGGTAGGTTAGAATAAGCCCTGTGGTTTGGGTTGGAATTGAAGGCATAAATGTGAACTCATGGTGTTTAATACTTATGTATAGATACATAAGCAGATGCAGATGTGTGTATGTGTGTGTGTGTGCACACGCACACATTTTTGCAAAGGTATATATCCTCACTTTGTTCAGTGAGAAATTTTAGAGCCATAATACCTCTGTAGCAATGAGCAGACCAAGGGCTGAAATCTTAGTGTCTAACTAGCATCCCACTTTCTCTTGAAAGAGGAGATTGATGAGTGCAGATGGTGATGAAGGGTCCATGTAAACTCCTTGGTCCAGTGTCCTACACTGGCCACTTCTCTTCAGCCATACCTGTGCCATAAGCTCCCTAAGCTCATAGCACTACACAATGGTAGTATCAGTAGCAACAAGTGGTGGGAATAGTTTGGAGCAGGAGCAGCTGTCTGGCTATAGGGACTTTTCATTAACTGGGTATTTGTAAGTAAGGTTAAGTTTGCTTTTATTTTAGGAAGCAGAGCAAGGGTTTTACAAATTTTGTAAATCCCAGCTGGCCACACAAGGCTTAGTTTGGGAGGTACTCCCTGAAGAAAGCTAAAATGTTCAACTCTTTTTTTTTTTTTTTAATATTTATTTTTGAGCGAGAGAGACAGAGTGCGAGCAGGGGAGGGGCAGAGAGAGAGAGGGAGACGTAGAATCTGAAGCAGTCTCCAGGCTCTGAGCTGTCAGCGCAGAGCCCTACACGGGGCTCAAACCCATGAACCATGAGATCATGACCTAAGCTGACATCAGATGCTTAACCGACTCAGCCCCCCAGGCGCCCCCTGTTCAACTCTTTTGTTTGAAAAAATAGTCAACTTTATTCATTAAGTAGTACAGTCATTACAAAAACCATATCCCAATCCATATTTTGGATATAAAGGGTGAAGTGCCTGAAGGGTTGGGAGAAAAAGAGACTTAAGACAAAGCATGAGAGACCGTCTCAGGTCTAAAATCCACTGTCCACTCCCCACTCAGACTCACTCTCATCTATCGTTCTTTGAAAGGATGCTGAACCATAGCTTAGGTATTTTAATCACAAACCTGCGCAGGCTGCACTCCAGTGAAGGCCCGTAAGGCTGCAACTCCAGCGTCCACAGCAGCCTTACCAACTGCTACGGACTGAATATTTATCCCCCACCCCACAAATTCTTATGTTAAACCTAATGCTCAGTGTGATGGTATTAAGAGGTGAGGCCTTTGAGAAGGGCCTGGTTAGGAGGATGCAGCCTTCATGAATGTGATTCCCATCCTTACAGAAGAGACCCCAGAGAGCCAGATTGCCCCTTCAGCCACGTGAAGTTAGAGAAGCTAGAGAATGCCATCCATGAACCAGAAAGCAGGGTCTCATCAGACACCAAATCTACCAGAGCCTTCATCTTGGATCACCCCACCTGCAGGACAATGGGGAGTAAATTTCTGCTGTTCATAAGCCATCTAGTCTACGGTGTTTTGTTATAGCAACCCAAACAGACCGAGACACCAATCATCCACTAATTCACACAGCATTCAAAAAAATCAACTTTTCATTTGTATTGCATGGAGACTGTTCTGCTGGGCACTTGGAGAACTCATACGAAGATGTTTAAAATATGCTGCTTACATTTAAGAAGTTTATAGGCTCTCAGTTGGAAATGGTTTTGATTTAAAACAATATGCAGGTTGTCAATCTGGCATACTCTTCTAATAGCCAAAGCCTCCTGGCTATTACTCTTAAATAATACTGGCTAAAATCTTGGGTGAATCTTTCATTATGTACTACAGATAAAATTACACTAAAATTGTAATAGGACCCTTTAATGGCCACCTTAGGTAAACTAAATGGAAGGTTATTGGAGTTACCTATTAAACTTTATGTATTTTAAAACCATTTTATGAAATTATTGGGAATCATAAAGGAAATAGATATTGGGCAAAGCTGCATATTAACAGTTCCTTAGTAAACTTTCTTGATTGTCTAACTGCATGCAAAGGGTGTTATATGTAAGTGATGAATCTCTAAATTTTATTCCTGAAACCATTAAAAAATAAAATGCATTAAGATTTTTTTTTAAATAAATAAATAAGTGCAAAGGGAAAATGTTTCACACTGTCAAAATAGCCCTAAGTAGTGGTCTCCCAGCCTCCACAATATGTGTAATGACAGAGAGATCTTTGAAGCTGAAGGCAGGCAGTGCATGTTCCAGAAATTCTTACCTAGTTGTAATGGTCCTAGTTGTAGCCTGTGGAGCCTTACACACCCTACCAAGATTCACACCCACCATCTTGCTACATAGTTCTGTTACACTCCAAAAGAAAAGAGAAAAATCAATTTGGACATTAAAATCAGAAGGTGTTATAAGCAAATAAAGATACCTGATAAGGGCACTTTAAGAAAGGAAACATTTTAAGAATGTCCTTCAGAGGTGTTCTGCTGCTAATCAACTTTCTTCTTATTTCCAAAGTCCGGCTCATTCTCTTATCGATTTCTCCCCAGTCCTTTTCTGTCTTCATATATTCTTGCTGGAACCAGTTAATATGTTCATCTGCCTCAGAATCTAAACAAACAGTTTCTTCCTGCAAAATATTTTCAAAATATCAATATGCTCCATTTTTCAAGTGGCAGTTTAACACTTCAGAATTATAGGCTGTTATTGCACACTCTTAATGCACTCCTAAGGTGAGTGTTACCACTTGTGGTTACATGTGGCCTTGAATGTGGTTAACAAGTGGACAGTCTTTAACAAATCAGATAGTTCATTACTTATGGGACTATAATCTGTTCTCTTGACAGATCTAAGAGTTAACTTCATTTTCTACATAGCCTTTTCGTGGAAACCTAGATTATCCAGAAGGTTCACACTTAACAGGAATTTTTTTTTTATTTCTACTCATATAAATTTCAGAAGACAAAATATTAAAAGAAAAACAGATTTTAAATTAAGGTTTTGTTGTTGCTGTTGTTTGTATTTTTGTTTTTTTTTTTAATTTTTTTTTTCTTAACGTTTATTTATTTTTG